GCTTATCACATTGGCTCAGAACTCTCTAAAGATGGCTACGACGCAATGGGAGGTCACATAAGCTGATGATTATCGAGGCTGGAACTAGAGTCCAAGCGGGAGGAGAATACCTTTTGTGAGGCAAGGTTGATTCACATTCACTGGCATCGTGGAGCCTACCTGTACCACTGTCTTGAACTTCAAATATCAGCTCTACATCCCTTTGTCCGGCCTAGGGTGACCACAGCTCCTATTCAAGATTTGCCAATAGTATTGCAAGCTACTGATTATAATTATAAGTAGTGTGGAAGGAACGCTGAAAAGAATAGAACATCACCAAGAGTCGACACGAGCAGTGGACTCTAGGAGTCCGGGAAGGGTCATTTTAGATGGAATGATTGCAGCCGGACGACCGGCTGCTCCAAAGCGACTCTGCTACCTCGGAACGGTGGGCCAGACAGTCGTATAAATAGCAAAATGAAGTGCGACTTCCAGCAAAATAATAGGTTCACACAGCTTCTGTCGGTAGAGCTATCGCGTCTTGGACGTCCCTTGTTCTTTGGGTTACCAGTGGGGATAGACATGGTAAAGTTGATCGAAGAAACTAGCGAAGCCCTGCTCATTGATCAGTTCCCAAACTTGCTTTTTCCCAGCCAATCGCAAATCGCCACATTCGTACTCTTGAGGAGGACGAAAAGAAGACAGGATGACTTCCTCATGAGTTATGCCGTTCAGGCTAAAGAAGCTGATCGCATGTCGCTCTCAACTTCTCGTGGACGGGAAGATGGTTGAGTGGTCTCTTTGCCTAGGGGGAGGTAGGGATGAAAAATGGATATGTTATGCTAACTCGGTCTGAAGGAGGCAATGGTTGGGGACGGGCAGAAATTGGCAGGCCAGGCCGGAGTCTAAATGCTGCCTACATACAGAGAAGGTTGTGCTATTCGTATGGTGGGACTGCCGAGGAGGGCTGTGTTTGGGGAGGAATTGCTTGGAAACACTGACAAGTCGGGTCACAACTATGCACGCATAGGCTGCGACAAGCACGCAAAGAACAGACACGCCACTGAGCGACTGGCAAATGTCCACGAAAGGGCAATACTACAAAAAATGAGGAAGTCATTTTTTTAGTTTGGAAGTCGTCTAGACTGGCCGTAGATATGGGCCTGATTAGGCTCTGATGATGCTGCTATAACATGGACTTTAAGCAATGAAAAAGAAACTAAAATCACATTGTGAAATAGAAGGAAATTTTTGCAAGTTTCTTCATGAAAACTGGCCCTCGTTAAAGGCAATTCAAAATATATTTTCTGATAAAGAAAAGCGTCTTCAGTCTGAGTCAGTCAGTAAATTCTCACATAGTTTGCCCACGCCTTCACCGAGACAAGCCAGGCTCAGCAACATATCCCAATTCATCTGTGACAAGTGGAGTGGCCGCTATCCACGCCCCAATAAGCCCATTTGTACAACGTACCTGTTGAGAATGTATGGTAAGAAGAGCTGAGCAAAGACGAGAGTTGCTGATACCCCAATTATCTGGAGATGTACCAGCAATGCACTGAAAGTGAGCCTATTCATCACTTAATTACATTAGAGTGAAGGTTATGCAGCAAAATTCGGTGCAGTTAATTTTGAACAAGTTCGCTAGCAGGACAATAGAAAAAGACAATCGAAAGCGGTGAACTTTTACAACTATCGAATTCCTGTTAGCTGCAGAACAAAACTATTTCCAACGACGAAACCAGTAGGGTATACATATACATCAGCGGAAAAAGCATCGGTTAATATGACTATAGAATTCACCACAAAAGCAGGTGAGTGAAAAGATAAGCTTGCAAGCCTTAAAGGTCATGCTTGTCGAGTAATAAACAATAACCACTACCCCTTATGCATCACTTGTATTCAAGAAGGTTTCAGGGAAGTCGACATTTGCATATGAATTCAATACCGATTATTAGTCTGTAATAGACTCTTTCTGCCTGAAGAACAGTCAATATTCACAAACTCATGGCTCGACTCCCTCTACGGATGTTGATAAGCCATAAGCGGGATCGAAACTACAGTCCACCCAAGATGATGACACCTTATGGGAAGGCAAGGCTATGTGAAATTTAATGGAAACGTCAGCTCTACTCATATTATTGTGGAAAAATTCAACTACTAGTCCTTCATCCTCTTGAACGAAACAGGGTGAATACCTTATTTACTAGTAGCCTTGAAACCCTACTTATAAACTAAAAATACCCATACTCTACTTTATGTTACTTGTAAAAATAGAAGCCAAGAGCCCCCTAGCTGTTGCACAGACCATTGGTTATTTGGAAAAGATCCCGTAAACATTCGAGTTTGACCATACAACCATACACACAATCACATTTATGTATGCAATTATGCTAAAACATTATAAGCCATAGTCCCCATTACGAGATAACGGCACTTGTCATCCTTTCTATCACTATACAGGCAATCAAAAATCTACCCGAAATTGATTAGGAATATCCTGATGGTCCATCATCAGGTATAATGAAAGAGGAATGTTACAATTTTTACTGTGCTTATTTAGATGTAGTGTGATGTGCTCCTTTGAGCGGCATTCATGAAAACCCTTCACATTTCACGCTGTCGTTCTCATCCCCTTCACCCTTGTGCTTGGTGGGAATGTTGATCAGAGTCTGCCATATTGCTACGCAGTCCTCCTTCCCTAGGTCTTATCACAATCTCCCTCTTGCCCCGTAAGATCCGTCTGCTCTCTTCCTGGTTCACGTATTTCACTTGACCCCTGCCACCCCATCTGTGCCAACTTGAGGCGTTATTCGCCCTTCCCTGCGTCTGGGTGACTAATTCGAGGCTCAAGTCTCGGAGTAAGTTTCATCGTAAAGCCTTTGCTACATGGACCACGTTTATGGTAAAAACAAACCCACTGTGAACCAAGTAGATCCAATCTCCGCCGCGTCTATTCTGTCTCTATCTGTAATCTAGTTGGCAGGGTTCGAAAGAAATACGTGAACCAGGGAGAAAGCAGACGGATCTTACGGGGCAAGATGGAGATTGTGATAAGACCTAGGGAAGGAGGACTGCGTAACAATATGGCAGACTCTGGTCAACATTCCCAGCACAAGGGTGAAGGCGGTGAGAACGACAGCATTGAGTGTGAAGGGTTGTCATGACTGCCGCTCAAAGGAGCACATTACACTACATCGAAATAAACACAGTAAAAACTGTAACAGGGAAGGCGTGATAGGAGGATATAGGAAATGTGAATAGCCCAGGGCAGAAGGAGAGATACCACAACTGTTTAGCAAACGTTTGGTCAAAGGATCGGCTTCACTTGTCTCTTTGACGAGTTGTTGTTTTGTGCTAAGAATGGCGAGACTTACTGACGGCGCCGACTACGATGCCGGCGAAACGTCTTAGAATGTACCACGTCCACAGTCCTACTC